CACCTGGACAGGTCTCCAGTTTACCAGAGACATTTGGACAGGTCTCCAGTCTCCCAGAGACATTTGGACAGGTCTCCAGTCTCCCAGAGACATTTGGACAGGTCTCCAGTCTCCATCAGGGACACAACAGAGACAATCAACCATCCACACTCTGTCACACCTAGAGTCACACAGAAGAGCTCCAGAAGGTTTCAAACTGAGAACTCTGGACTCAGATCATCTGCTGCACACAGTTCTAATCACTTATTATCAATAAGAATTTGCTACGATAAATTATTATTAATAATTATCATGAGTCCTTAACTTTAGGATGTTGTTAGGCTATTAAATATTCATGTATGTGTAAATTTATTACCATAATTGAAGATGAGTCACGTAAATTTATGTTTTCATAAAACAAGTAGCGCACCCACCCCTCCACCCACCCCAGACCAATTTCCTAGGGGAAACACTGATACATATTTGTAACATGCACAAAAAAAAAGGTAAGATTAGTGCAGGTTCTTCATCAGTAAGATGACAGAATAGATGTCAGTTTGTTTCAATATCATGCAGCCCAATATAAATCTATGGAAAGTGTAGCATTAGATGAAAATGTTTTTTTAAAAATAGAGGAAAAATTGGGATATTTTATCTCAAACACAGATTTAACATATTTGGTAGACTGAGTTTAGATGCCTTATGACAAATAAAATAGCTTGAAGTTTTATAAATATTAGCTTATTTTTAATTGCAATGTTGGCCGCCACTAAATAAATAAATGTTGGTATGTGTGATTTTTCTGCTGTAAAACTTGACCAAATGTCTCTGATGGACATTTATGGCCTAGTGTGGTTCATCATTGATGACTTTGCAGCTCATTCAGTTAAAAAATAAATACATAAAATAAAAAAAGATTCGCCATCCCTGTACATAAAGTGGTGACCTTTGGCATTTTACCTCGTTGTCCAAAACAGCATGACATTCAGACTACTGAGAAAAACCTCAATTTTTCTCCAGGCATTTATTAACTTTCAGCATAAAAATGAAATAAGATTCAAGTGTGGCATTTATGAAGATGAACAGTGGCTTCCAGGTGGGCAGATAATTCCAGGGTTTTAAGAGAACAAAAGGAAGTAATGTGTGTCTTTGCATGAAAACACTGGAATATATATATATTAAATTGACATTTACTTAAAACTTTATCCAGTTATTTTCAGGTTACAATTCCATCGTCTGTGCCTTAAAGCGCTACTGTTAAACAAGATGTTTTGCGGTACGCTCACACATTTTATTAAGAAGCTGTCAGAGTTTGGCGCCAGGTGGAGAAAAAGATGTCAGGATGCCAATTTTAGACAAGCTGAAGGTGAAAATATGACAAGTCTTCACTCAGACTCACTTTGAACCTTTGCCTTTATTCTGATTTGTTCATCTGCAGCTACCTTCTCTTCCAGTTTTTTAAACTGTTCAGATTTGTCTCGTTTCCATTTCTTGTTCCCATCAAAGGCGAAACCGAAGCGGGAATTTATTTGGCTCGAATACATGAAACTTATAAAGCCCTGAATCAGAGGTGTGAATATTATTTTAAAAAAATGTTCCTTAATGCAAAATGAAACGCAAGAAAAGCAGCTCCTGTTCCTGCAGGAAAGGAGAGGTTGGTGGTGAGCTTTCTCCTTTAGAGGCTCTGTTCTGCATCTGAACCATGTTTGGATTGAGAGAATTAAAAACAGGCAGGTGTTRTTGTTTTAAAGAAGTGAATTTCGAACGTCAGCACTTTATCTGCTCCAGGTGAGAGTGGGGACAGAGACCTGGTGTGACATTTAAAGCAGATGTACCCAAGTTAGGGTCCTTATGGTTCTGGCTGCTCAAACACTGGAACTAGATTATTCATGCAGGTTTTGTACACCACAGTGAGCCAATGTTAGGTAACTTGGAAGTCTTCAGAAATGAATTGAGCCTTAACATGTGAAAACCATGAATCCTGGGTTAGAATTGTCCTCTATGATATGAACTGGATGTTTTATTATGTCTCATGGAAAAGATACAGCTTGGTTTTTTTTTTCTTGAAAATGCTTTGAAGGAACAGCTACCAGCCAGATTGCTTTAACAAGAAGCAGAACTAAGACTTTT